CTGGCCATTGCATCCTGCATAGTAGAGAGGTGTGCTTGTTTCACTTGTATCTTCAGTTGTGGACTGTCCAAGGCATCCACGAACTGATCCCTCAGCAACAGCTTGAGGACATCTGGTGGTGCAGTTGGGTAGGCCTTGTGTGCCATACTTTCCAAATCCTGTGCCAGCTTTGCAGGCTCTCGCCTTTAGCACGGACTGTCGTCCTAAACATAACCCTGTAGACTTTGGCCTGATTTTGAGTTCCATATCTGAGTTCTAGAGCAGCTACGAGTGCTCCATAGTTGTGCCTGTCGGCTGCTGACAACTGTCCAAGTATTTCCTGTGGTTGTCCCTTCAGGCTCGTTGCCAGGAACACTGCTTTCTGCTCCTCTGTCCATCCATTCATTTGTGCCAGGAGCTCAAATTGTGCTCTATATGCTTCCCATGGTGCCATCCCATCGAATTCACGTGGCTTCCTTCGTACTAGATCACCCCTATTGCTGACACTCATGTCTGGAATGTGACTTCTGACAGGACTGAAGATATCTGCATTAGGGTTTAGCTGTGAGGTCTGGAAGGGGCTTCCCGTTGTCTGGGGCTGATTATGTCCATGGCTAATATATAACAGTAAATTGTCCTTTAATGTATTTAATTCACTTTACTAATCTTTTCCATTTGTGTGTGCTGGCTTTCTCTCAACTGTTGGAGTCTTTCTTCCTGTTTCTTTTCTTGTTTCAATTGCCACTGATGCTGGTTTTTCTGCCTTTGCTGTAGTCTCTCTTCTTGTTTATGTTATTTCTCCTCCAACCACTGCTGTATGCTGTAGCCTCTCTTCTTGTTTATTTTCTTTCTCTTCTAGTCACTGTTGTAGCCTCTCTCTGCTTGTTTTTTTTTCTTTCTCCTTCTACCACTGCTGTAGTCTCTCTTCTTCTTTATTTTCTTGTTCTTCCTGCTTATGCTATTTTTCCTCCAACTATTGTTGTAATCTTTCTTCTTCTTTATTTTGCTGTTCGAGCTGCCACTGTTGCAGGTTTTCTTGCCACTACTGTTGTCTCTCTTCTTATTTATTTTCTTTTTCCTCCACCCACTGTTGTAGTCTCTCTTCTGTTTCTTTTCTTTTCATCCAACAATTATATTAATCTCTCTTCTTGTTTATTTTGCTGTTCGAGCTGCCACTGTTGCAGGTTTTCTCGCCACTGCTGTTGTCTGACTTCTTGTTTCTTTTCTTTTTCCTCTTCTTTTTCTTTTTTTTCCCGTCCCACTCTCTGACACCAATTTGTTGCATATCTGCTTGTTTGTTAATTTCCCATAGAAATTCTTTCCGAGAAACTTTAGCGATACAAGTCCTTTCTTAATTAAAACTAGTTTATTCTTTCTTGATACAACTTTGCATTACACAGTATTTCCACGGTCACTTTAACTTAACCACTTTTATAAACACACACTATAGTTCACAGTGATTCACACTCTTTACTTATGGTGCCTACTGTTCGCTTGACTCAATTATTTCTGTTCAATCTATCTCCGGCTTATATACTAAAAAAGAGGGCGTCTAGCAAACACTGGGACATTCGTGAGGTTCCCCGATCCTTCTAGAAACACCAGCGCGCATGCTCCCTGCGTCGCGTGACTTCCGCTGTCGTAACAATATATTTCATAAGATATTAGTATTAGGCCAATTATATTTTTAAGCACCACATTCTTTATCTAGCTCCTGAGGGATTTTCAAGAATTATAAGAGTGTATAATAATTGTATTCCAACCACGCTATATAAATAAGCAGTAGATAATGTAATAACACCGAAAATGAATCGCTTTTTGGAATGGAATCTAACACCCCATTCCAACGCAAAATATTCATACAATCAGATCACAAAGATGCATTCAGACTAGGAATTTCCAAGAAGGGGATATCCCTTCTACTTAATGAGATTGAAAAATAAAGGAATGCGGACCAATAAGTCACATCTATATTACAAAACAGCTCAATTGTCGCATACCTCAAGCAGCTGAAGAATGAAACGTGTATTCCAGCTATTCCATACTAAGACCAGCATTTCTGTGCGATCAGGCTGTTGCAACAGGTGTTGGAAAACCGTTGTCTTCATACGCTGGATAGATTATGGAAGGCCATCAAGGAGGAGTAGTGTGCATTAAACGTTGCAGACGTACGACGAGCCTTTTGTAACAGAATATACGCTGCATGACTTGTTACGATGCACGGTCAACAGAATACGAATGACTGAAAGTGGCGACATGGACTATAATGACGTGTTGAGGCTCCAAATTCGTTTTGATTAAATGCACTCAACCTCTGTACAGCATAACGATAATGGATGAAAATATTACAATAGTAATATTGTGTCCAATTTATCAAGTGTTTACAGCGTCAGTATCGTATATTTCGGCAGTAGATTAAGATCACAGTAAAAGTATTGTGTCAAACATATCATGTTCCATCAATATTAATATAGCATAAATTATAGACAATGGGTAATAAAATAACAGTAACAAGCAAAAGTGCCCGTCCCCAGTGATGGAAAAGTTTAAGTTAATCTATCAATTTAAATTATTTCATGGACTTTAAAAAGTTTAATTGTGATACACTCTTGATTTTACTCTGAGCTACTTATACCGCGAAAAGTAATTGTTGAGTATTCAGTCATACTAAGAGCCGCTCAACAATAACACACGGTAAATCTACATTTTTATTCTTTAAGTTACGTCACATTTTGAAATGTGAATGATAGTGTGATTAATTCATAACAACTTAGTGTAGAATATCCTGCTTGTTAAATAAAATTTGGCATCAACATTATTCATGCCTTTTCTCTCGTCATTTTAAAAGTAAATGTTGAATTTTGTCTGCGTGTGGGGCTTTTGAAACGCAGTGCGGGAAGCGGCCGCCGTAAACGAGAGACAGACGAACGTTTGGACAGACACTACGGTTTGTAATATACATATGATAGTAGTGTGTCAACTTTATCAAGTACCAACAATATCATTAAAGCATAATTTGTGGACAGAGAATAATGACATAACAGTAAAAGTATTTTGTTAGATTTGTCAAGCATCTGTTTATTTTATTGTTAAGCACAAAGTTACACCATGAGTTATTTGTGTTCTGTCCATTATGGTATCGAAACTCAACATTTAACCTTATAAGCCGTAAGACATACCTCTGAGCCACCGGAGGGGAGGGGTGGTGGTGGAGAGGCTCATAAAGTATGAACAATGTGAATAATGGATAATATTAATTATGGACAGTAAGTAATACGATAACAGTAAAGTATTGTGTCAGATTTATCAAGTACGAATAATATTAATACAGTACAATTTATGAAAAATAAATAATAACCTTGCAGTAAAAGTATTGTGTCAAATTTATGCAGCACCATCAATATTAATACAACACAAAATGTGTAAATCAACTATATAGCAGTACAGTAAGTGTATTGTGTAAATATATCCAATACCGTCAATTTTAATACAACATAATATATGTAATAACGTTACAGTAAATGTATTGTGTTAAATTTATCCAGTACCATAAATATTAATACAACATAAGTTATGAATAATATGTAATAGTATTACAGTAAATATGTTGTATTAAATTTATCAAATACCGACAGTATTAATACAGCATTTCAACAACTCGTAATGAAAGTACAATATGATAGTATGTCAAGCTCACCAAGTGCCAACACTGTCGATACAGTAGGTAATTAGATTGTAATAACACTATTTTATCAAATTTACCAAGTGCCAACAATGTAAATACAGCATGCAATAAGATTACATTAACATTATTGCGTCAAGTTTACTAAGTGTGAACAATGTCAATACAACATACAGGTAACAGGTAATAGTATTACAATAGTAGTATTATGTCAAGTTTACCAAGTATAAGCATTGTTGATATAATATAATGGCAACTAGTTAATATATTGTAGTAATAGTGGTTTTAATTTTATCAATACAGCCTACAGGAAAAATAATAAACTCGTTTTAATTAAGAAAGGACTTGAATCGCTGAAGTTTCTCGAAAATAATTTTTACGGGAACTTATCAAACGATCAGATACGTAACAGTATTTTCAACCTGAAGCATACTTTATACACACATAGGCTAAACATCCAAGTTAAAGACCCCTAGGTTCCAGGTATAGTCGCTCTAATTATGAACTATTGACCGGAACGACAGAAGTGTGTCAGCAGCATCCTCCGCTTTATACCATTTTTAACAAAGTAACAGTGTTGACCGTCATGCTTATAATGCACCCACAGCTGAAAGTAATATAAAAGAAAAGTATTTGGAAGAGTATGAATATTCGGTCAAGTTGTCAAAATAATATCTTAGTAACAAATGACCTACTTAACTCTGAAGAGAATATCTTGTTACTGAAAAGTCTGTAACCGATTTTTTTTCCCACGTGGCTACTACTTAATACGCTAGAGTAAAAAACAAAACAAATAATACTTACTAAAATTCTTGTCATTATCAGTTTTTACGTTAACACTAATCGAGAATAACAACCAAATGATTTCAGCTTGTAGACTGTGTTACCCTTTCTTCATCTTGTCTATAAAACACAATAAAAACAGAAAATAGATGAAAGGTGCTTCAAAGAGTTTTGATAGTATATAAATTGAAAGGGATGAAGGAAGAAAATGAGTATGTAATCGAACAAAAATATGATTCAGACATGGAAAAATAGAAAAACAAAGTAATGATAAGATAGAGTGAAGAAATAAGAAGAATATATGTAAATGAGAGAGATAAAAAATATCCAATAATTATATATAAGTAATATTGTGCTTGGTGTGTTTCATGTCCAGCTGTGTGATATACTACTCCAACAGGTGTCCAGTTTTGCTGGACAAATTATTGATTCAGGCCCGTGGCACGAGCAAACTTCAAAAAAAAGAAAAAGAAAACGTGTTCTACTGCAGTATGAGGTTACGTTCATATAGATAGATAGATATACGTTTTTGTTTATAATTATTTTCTTTTCTCAGGTATAGCAAAGAAACAAAGAGTTTTGTTAAAACTTGGTTTGGCACACACACACTCTCGCTGTTGCCTGGGGTAAGTTTCTAGCTAAAACTAAATATTTAGAATAAAATAACTTTAGTGTTGTTTTTTATCTTTTGCCTTAGTATCGAACTTACAGGGCTCTTTATCGTGATATATTATAGTACTGTGAAGAGTAAAGAAGAGGAACAGAGACCTCAGGAATTTACTGGGATTACTAGTTGTTTGAGAATGCAGAATTCGATGTCATTGACGCTGTAGTCCGTCTAATTGGAACAATTTCTAACTATCTTATCTAAAATATTAAAATAACCTTTTTCGGTATGTTGCTAAGCAAATTCCATGTCCAAATATCTTATGTGTTACTACAGTTCTTCATATGGATGTTATCACCTGACTTTCTTTATTTACTAACTTAAAACAACAACAAAAAACATTTTTGAAAATTCTAATTTCCATATTGTATCGTATTTGTTATCATTTTGATTAAGGTGTATTTTTCCTGGACGTTATAATTAAAATGTAAAATCTACATTCAAGTTTTTTGTGTAGATATAATCATCACTAAACATTGACTTCTATTAAAATAATTAGCGACAAATTTCACTGGACGGTTGTTTTAGAGTAACTTAAGAAATGTGAAAAGAAGCACACCTGAAAATGCAAAGAAAAACCTCTCTTACTTGTCTACAGTTTTTAGTTCTTTTGGGATTCCGTATATGGATGCTTCATGGTTCGCTACCAAAGTTCTCGGTACAAGACAACCCAGCTGCTTTTGCTCCTTCTGTGATAACAAGGTTGGTACATTATTATTACCAATTTTTTATTAAAATATTACGGTTGAATCTTTATAAAATACCATGCAGAGTTGCGGTTTTTCTGTTTTGGAGAGAAGTATTTAATATAATTTGGCCTTAAACATATACTTACAATATACTGTGTTGTACATGTTGGTTGTTTACATTGAAATATCATTTGTGTGCTCTCGCTATTAACGATATTTTCGCCTGCTATCCGAGAAATATTTCACGAAGCTTGACCACCTTAGAAGATTTAGGTTTGTCCTAAAATCACATTTTAAACTAACAATACATAATACTCTTCAAATATGTAAATAGTAATAGAGAGAGAGAAATAGATAAAAATTAAGTAATAGCAATAATAATCTTTATTGCTACAAAATGCATGATCATTTCAAAACATTTATGATAACTGGAAAGAACGTAAAATAACAAATTAGTTAAACCATAGTTAAATAAATCCAATCCTACAAATGAAAATCGACTTTCGTTTAACAAGTATTTAAATGTGGAAGGTGTATCCTTCCTTTTCAGTAGTGTAAGGACATTAATAACAATAAATATTGTTATTTTTAAGATTTCTGAGGATGAGTAACGAAGGTAAAAAGATGCAGAACAGAAAAATATTGTAAAACTACTAATTAAGAACTCACTGTGAATTTATACATTAAATGTATATATATATATTTTAAATTGAATGTAGTGTGAATCTATCGCGATAGAATGTCGCGAAATTTCAAATATACGCTTTTAAACATGAATATTGCGAATAAATCATATGAAGTTTTTTGATGTATACGTAAAGTATACAGTCACTTAAGTAAATTATTGTCATACTTTTAAGATGAAAAATGTGGTATTAACATATAGGAAACGATAACAAAAAAATTTCCCAAAGTTTAGAAAGTTAAGAGATAAATTACTATGTTACAGGTTATCTTAGTTTTTATTCTCACAGTGATTTTTATTGCCATTTAATTTCATTAGAAAAAATACAATTCAATACAGCAGTTGCAAATTGTCACGTGATTGGACTAACAGCTGTCACAAGCTGAAAACCATGTGCTTTAAGTAGCAAACTAAACCAAGCAGGACGTGTTGAGATAGAAATTGTAGAATTATATTTAAATAAAGCTTAACAACGCTTTTGTAAAAATGAAGTTTAAATTCTAAGACTACTGTTCTTTTTTTCAAGATTTATCTCGTAAGTAGTTTGAGCAATTAGAAAAGAACTATTTTATCAGCTCTTTTCTATAATTGCTCAAACTACCACTATATACATATGTTTCTAGAGCAGTGGTTCTTAACCTTTTTTGCTCTATGTCTCACCTCGACACCTCAAAATTGGATGCCCCTTAATATAAAAACAAATTTGGTGTTGAAAAGGTATAATAATATAATGTAAAATTTAGAAATTTACCAGAATTTCACACTTAAATGAAAATTTTTTCTTATTGTAGCATTTTCAAATTGCCCTCCTGTGGGGCGTGCACCCCACTTTCAGAATTACTGTTCTAAAATTTATAGGTTTTTCTTTTTTTTTACTTCAGTGGAACAAGAAGACATGCTCTCATAATTTTAGACTTTAAGAGACTATGATTTAATATTAATAAAATATTTCAGTAACGATATGTAAGTAAGTAATCTCTTTACCAAATTTATAGTGAATGTTAAATTAACAGACAACATAGTCGGTTTAAATTTAGTTCTCTAGACCACCATAAAAATATCTTAATAATCTATAAAAATAAATAAACTAAAAAAACAGTGCACTTTCAAAATATGAGGTCTTTCGCAAGCTTTTAATGAAAATGAAACTACTTTTGAGTCTTTGTTTGGAGAAATTTATCAAACATTTCAATAACCTGTTATTTCTGTTGCTTTCTTTCTACACAACCCATGCTTTAACGACCATGTTTAGATAGAAACAAAGCGTATATCAAAACAAGTATTTGTTTGTGGTTTCTGCACATTTTGTTTTCCTCCAGATTTCTTACTAAGACCTACTTGGTTACGTTCAACGCTTACCTGATGCTTTGTCCTACGAACCTGTCTTATGATTGGCAGATGGGCAGTATCCCCCTGGTGGAGACGGTGTTGGACATGCGTAACTTCGGTTCGATGTTTTTATTTGGTGGAGTTCTAACTATTTTTATATACTACAGAAGAATAGTGAAGGTAAGAGAAGGTAGGTGTTGTGGATAAAAACACAAACCCACCAGTTAACTTGATGTTTCATTGTTGTGTTATTGTGTATAGTTTATCATACAAATCATTATAAAGATCAAAACCAGCCGTCAATAGTCTGGAAGCTTTCTTTATTCTCATGTTACCACGAATCGCCTCTTGTATATAATGTTACAGATGGACGTCCCTCTCCTAAATGTCTTTTAATTGATAACCTAAACATCATTAGTCAGTTTGCTTAATTGCATTTAACTTTCTCATATTGACTTTCATTTTACTATTTAAAATATTCTTTTTGTATGTGGTTATATCACATTGTGTGCGCATGTGCCGTATATTTACCATTTAAAATATTCTTGTTGTATGTGGTTATATCACATTGTTTACGTATGTGCCATATATTTACTATTTCAAATATTATTTTTTGTATGTGGTTATATCACATTGTTTACGTATGTGCCGTATATTTACTATTTCAAATATTATTTTTTGTATGTGGTTATATCACATTGTATACGTATGTGCCGTATATTTACTATTTAAAATATTCTTTTTTGTATGTGGTAAAATCACATTGTTAACGTATGTGCCGTATATTTACTATTTAAAATATTCTTTTTTATACGTAGTTATATCACATTGTTTTACGTATGTGCCACGATTTTTTTAATAATAGGAATGATCAGTGTATTTGCAACTGCTTCATTAGATGAAAAACGAAGTTTTATAATAAATATTAAAAACACGGTAATACCAAAAAACATCTTTAATACGACGTTTCGGAATTTCCTTAAATTCCGTCATCAGCGTTAATATCTCAAAAAAAAGGTAGTTCAAAATATTCGAACTACAAAAAACAGCATTAACATTGAACGAGTTTCGGTATTCAATCAGAAGTCTAGAAAGATATTAACGCTGATGATGTGTTTTTTAAATTTATTATAGAAATGATCACATGCAAGATATACGCTTCTATATGGTTTAATTCTAAGAGTACAAGGGCCCTAATTTGATTGATTAAGTTCATTACAGAAAATGTATGCTCCTGATAAAGGCGTGAAGCCGAAACGTTGGGCAGATTAAAAAAAATAAAACACTTCCAAAGGTTCTCTGTAGTTCATGGCCGTTTCATTTATTCAATGTTTTAAATGTTAACGAATCACAACAATAAACACGCGTTCCTTTAATACTGTTTTAATGTAATTTAAACGTGAAGATATTAGTATTTAAAAGACAAAAACTCGCAGGTTGAAGCACCACATTAAAATATATAAGGGTTTATTAACCTACAAGCTTTCTAGCTGATAAAAGAATAAAGGTTTTTATACTTAACAAAAATGGTTAGAATTATGCTTGGCTGCTTATGTCTTTACGTCACATTCCTCTTAATTAGTCCAGGCTGAGGCTCCGTTATAACTTGGGGAGCAGAGCAATATCTGATGTGAATAACTTCATGTACTCATTCATCAACATGAAGCCTTGTATAATTATTGTCAGGAATAGCATATAGTATGAACATTAACAAACTAAATAGTAAAATAGCGTGCATTTCGCACTCTTCTTTGGATTGAAGAAGCTCATAAGTCTTATTGTTTGTTGATTTTCGCGGAGACTACTTGGTATCTGTTTTACCCATCCCTACTCTTGAAGTGATAGACTAGAGGGATGGCAGCAGTAAACACCACGAATCGCCAACTCTTGGGCTACTATAATCGAATAATCACATTTATAACGCAACCAAGGCTCCAAATTGCGAAGCGTAATGATTAGTATCATCATTTTACAGTAACGAGACGCGAACCATGGAACCTCAGATCACATGCCTTAGCTTGATAGTTATGCGAATGAAAATAAATGTATAATACATAATTTAAACTACACTTATAAAATGTGTTCGGTGTCAGTTAAAACTTTCTTTTTGTTTTGAAATATTTGTGTTTTCTTCTTTTAGTTGATTTCAGAATCTCTCTCCCTCTATCTCTCTCTCTCTCTCTCTTTATATATATATATATATATATATATATTCCTAAAATGATGATGTCTTCCATTTCATAGGACAAAGTTTTGTATGCATTTATGAATTTATAAGACATAAACAAGTTTTCTATAAACTTATAACATTCATCCTCACATAATTATTGTTCTAAATTGTACTTGGCACGTGAAGTTTTATAGCAAGGATTATCTGTGTCATTCTATGCAAGACTTCCATATAGTAAGTATTGTTACGTCTGTGTTCGTTTGTTAATTTTCCGTCGAAATTCTTTCCGAAGAACTTCAGCGATACAAGTCCTTTCTTAAATAAAACTAGTTTATTCTTTCTCAATACAACTTTGCAATACGCTTAATTTCCACAGTAATTTTAACTTGAACACACGCTATAATTCACAACGGTTCACGCATTTTACTTACGGTCATTATCGCTCACTTGATTCAATTATCTGTCTCTATCTCTCTATCTGCAATTCTTCTCCATATCGTCACTTATTGCCGGTCTTATATATAAAAAATAGAGGGCGTCGGGCAAACACTCGAGCCTTCACGAACCTTCTAGATACTCATTACGTGTTACCAGCGTCACGTGAATTCCGCTGTCATAACAGTATTCGGTTTGGTTACTTTGACGTATATCAATGTGTAAAGTGTAATAGGTACCCTTTGGTTTTCTTTAATGATTTAACGTTTCGTATTCTTGACATGACTTTGTGATTATCTGGCCATATGTGAGAGAAATACAACTAAATAGCTTTTGAAAAAGGAAAAAAACAGTTATGCATTTTGCAATTACTTTCGTTTGAACAAAAAAAAACAAAGCATTTTTAATTTAAAAAATAAATAAATGCTCCAGAAGAACGCATTAAAGATACTGAACAACTGAACTCAAAAGAAAATTTCGTTTTGATTCGTAATGTTTAAAATTTATGGCAATTTATCAATCAAACTAAGGAATTGTCGATTTATCTTAAATATTTTATTTGTTCTGTTTATAAAAATTAACAGTTAAAACTAAATTTCTATTGTTACGTACCATTTTTTGTAGAAAAAATACATATTTAACTAATATCAAATAAACTAACAAACTAATAGTTTGATTGTGTTCAATTCAATGCCAATATAATGATATAATACTCTGTTAACAATGTGCATATCCAATTAACACGTGTGTTATATTCAATAACTAGCATATACCCATCAAAAATGACGGGGCAAGTACAACCACCCCCACCCATATTATATCCTGACCTCACATTTCATTGCTAACTGAAATAAATCAATTTTGCGAAATCAAGTTTGACCAACAAAGAGGCAGAAAAGTGCAGTCGAGACAGTCAAACGTCGGTAAATTCCTTTGTGAACCAATCAAAATTAAGATCATTCATGAAATTAATTCGTGGCGTATTTATAGAATAATTATTGGTAAAAGTCAGTTAGATTAACAACTTATATATATAGAAGAGGCAGTGCGTTTTGGTAACATTACATTCTGTTTGTTTGTTTGTAATTAAGCACAAAGCTACACAATGGGCTATCTGTTCTCTGCCCACCACGGGTATCGAAACCCGGATTCTAGCGTTGTAAGTCCGCAGGCATACCGCTGTGCCACTGGGGGGGCATTACATTCTAATAATGGCTTTTATGTCATGTTGCTTAGCAACAAAAGTATAACCTGCTATTGTTGTTAGTCTATGTACTGAAAATATAAAATGAAATGTATATAGAACAAAACTGGGAAAATATTTGCTGATTTCTTAATTTAGAGTCTATTGATTAATGATTTTTTTATTATGAAAAATGTTGCTGATATAACAGAAAGCAGCTAATTCAGAAACGATTTATGTTTAAAATTGAATCGATATTTTTACTTTCATGATAAATTTTATGTACTTGGCTCTAAACTAGGTGATCCTACTATACGTCTTTACATTAGGCTTATTATACCAACACTCATTACACTTATAAGGTTTCCCGGCACCCACACCCCATCACGGGTACCTAGCACTCCCGTCACTAAAATCGTAGTTGGCAGACCGCAATTGAATTATTCCATCTTGATAAATGCATTTTGGCTTTTATGACTCCTCCTATTTCGAGAAAGCAAACGTGACGTGACAAACACTGGCCTTATATGTAGGCTAGATGATATAAATCGAACATCATCGTTGTAAAAACACAGTCTGATAGTAAATTCGAAAGTTACGTAAAGTAATGTACCGTTTATTAGAAAATATTTCAATCCACATGTTTCAGACGTTTGTAAAGTATCAGATATTAACAATAAGCAAAAGTTTGCTATGTGTATTTATTTACTAACGAAGGGATACAGAACAAGTTGCAGTCCACAAGGGAAACAGAAATGCGTTCATTGTTTCGACGAACCACCTCCATTGGTTCCTACGTAAATGGTTTGGTTAAAACGTGGACCACCTACTTCTCTTCCATTATAGCGATTTTAACTAAATCTTTATATTTTAGTTTTTTCTCAAGACTTGGCTGCATCTGTTTGTTATTCATTTTAATTACACTGCTACATGTCTTTATTTTTGCTTTTTTATATCTTGGTAGATAAGAGAAATAACGGTTCTATCAGTTGCCCTGGCAATACTCATATTTCCCTTTCTACCGGCTTCCAATCTTTTTATAACGGTGGGGTTTGTAGTAGCTGAGCGAATCCTCTATATTCCCAGGTAAGTTTTCGATTGTAATACAGTCGAACAATACGTTGAACATGCTGTTAACAGCGAAGGGTAACCAACTGATAAAACCACTCATTCTAATCTCTATAAGAAAGAACACGAGAAAAGTATACTTAATTAGCTATATCCATTACCAGGTTGTTTTTTAGTTTCGATCTAACTAGGTAATTTGTTATGATCGGAAGTTAATATAAATTTTACCTAACTTTATCACAACTTTGGATTAATGAAGGTTGAACGAATTCTTTACATTTACAGGTAAGTTTTTGAATTTTGCTTATGTGCAGAAATAACAATATAATTGTCACACGATGACAAGGTGAAATTTTTTGTTATGTATTGACTATTATAATGTTTAGCTTATGTTACTTATTGACTATTATACCGTTTAATTTAGGTGACTTAGTGACAATTACAGTGTTTAACTTAGGTGACTTAATGATTATTATAATGTTCAACTTGGGTAATTTAATGATTATAATGTTTAACTTGAGTAATTTAATGATTATAATGTTTAACTTCAGTAATTTAATGATTACAATGTTTAACTTAAATTACTTTATTTTTTGTTGTTGTTGTTTAATTTTTGCTAGTTAAAAATTAGTTACCCAGATCAACATTTTAAACGCAAATCAGTATTTTAAACACAAATTAATGTTGTAAACACAAATCAATATTTTAAACACAAATTAATGTTTTCACTCCTTTGCGGACTACAGTGCTGGATTGTATATTCTTGTAACCCACGGGCTACAGAGGTTGAAAGACTGGAGTCCGAGGGCGACGTGGCTGCTCAGGATAAGCACGTTCTTTCTGTTAACCGTATTTATGTGGTGTACATTACGACGAAATGCTGTATGGCAATCCAGAGAAACGCTTTTCAGGTAAGAACGTTACAGAACAAAGAAACGTATTGTTACGTATCTGCTTATTTGTTAATTTTCGGTAAAGAATCTTTCCGAGGAACTTTAGCGATACAAGTCCTTTCTTGATTGAATCAGTTTATTCTTTCTCGATACAAACTTTTAGCACACAGTAATTCCACAGTCAGTACGTTTCTCGTCACTTTAAGCTTAAAGACTTTTATGATACA